TGTACTACAGATTAAACCAAATCGAAAGGAAAGAAACAAGGCTAGAATACCTTTCTCTCTGTTGTTGAGTGTTAGAAGAAGGTTCTGCAAGTAGCATCGGATGCTCTTTAGGATCAATCAAAAGGCATTCCCTAAAAGTATCATGACCAGTCACTAGTTGAGAAATTCTTGGATATAAAGGAGGTAAAATTATATCTGGAAACTTAACAGGCAACAACAATGAGGAGAGAGGGGGGCACCCATCATTTATCATCAAACACAGAACAGAAGCTGTTGCGCCCAAATTTTAAACAGAAGAATCATCACTATTACAAGAAAATCATTAAAAACCTGAAAGCATGATCCCATATGCTATCAACAATATCCCAGTCAGCAACAATGCCATCTTTCAACGGTGACAGCACCTGATGGCAAGACATAAATGCATGAATCACTGTAAAATAACTAAAGAAGGCTATCTAAAATAAGAGGTGATCACGAAGGACTACCTCCATATGGTCTCTGCGGTATCCCAAGGACTGTGATCCCACATACAATTTGCGCTTTCCTTTGTTTTTTCAGAATCAGGATTTCTGGTATTGTTTTTCGAATCCGCAGAAGAAGCAGAGTTCTTTTCAGCATTATCAGGTTCATCAATGTCCATCTGATCAATTGCTCCAACAACCTAAATAAATACAAGTGGAAAAAACTATAAGACATTATACGGACCATCACTCTTAAAAATATCCATTGAATTTCTGTGTCCCCTGATGAACTTTAAATCATATACATTATTTTCTGGGAAGAGGTAAAAGCTAATCAAAACAGAGAATGTCAGAGCTCAGTAAAGCAGCTGAGACTCCTCCAGAGAAATAATTAGTAAAATAAGATTAAAAGCACTCGAACACAGTAAAACTCTAACATTTTGGCGAAACAGAAAAGACATTAGAAACAGAAGAAAAAGGAAAAAAAGCGAAAATGAGAAACAAGGAAATCAATACTTACGGAGGGAAACACGGCCTTGGGAGCATCTTCGCCAGCATAACCAGCTTTGCAAGTGTGGGAGCCCAAGTCAATCACAATTGCCGATACTTCGTCTGTGAATCCCCAAAACAGAAAACCACAATGCGCGATAAGGAAAAAATTATTCAGAAATAAGAACCAGAAATTTAGATAAGAATTTTACAAACAAAAAAATAGTATACTCACCACCACCATACATGACTGAAGTTTTTTGTGGTTCCAAAGAGAGAATTAGGGTTTTAAAAGGGTTTTAACCTTTCCCTATAAAATTTTATTAGGTCTTTCTAAACACTGAGATTCAGGCGAGAAGATAGCTCGGGAGCTAAAACCCACCGACGAATGACTTTCCGGCCGCCGTTCCGGCGAAATTGACGGTGGCAACGGGCCAAGTAGAGGTGGCAGGAGGAGAAGGTAGCTGCTGTATGGGAGTGAATATTCAGGAAAGAACTGTCTTGGATCCGACTTTGGGCTCCAATGACATGGCCCTGTTTTTCCCCATGGGGTCAATCCGAATTTGGCTTCTTCAGTCCAAAAAATAACCTAATTGGTCTTGAGTTTGGATTCGTTTTTATAATTTTAAAAATATAAAATATGTATATAAAAAATTGTTTATCCTGACTTACATAAAAATATTTTTTTAAAAATGTTTATGGCTACTTCCAAATGCCCCACCCTGCTCCTGCTCCTTTTTCTTTTTGGAAATGAAAACTCAACCTTTTTTTTTTATCAGCTATTAATTTGGTCCTCATAATTTATTATCATATATCATATCCTTATAACTCAATATATATAGGGCTAAAGTAGAAGTTGTTTTTATGGTTTGAAAACATGCAGGGAAAATGAAAACATTTCTTTTCCGAGGAACAAATGGTCTATTTTAAACTTTTTGGTTGATCATGAAACTAATTGATTCTTTACATCGTTTTCAAACCATATGGACTGTTTTCATGTAATTATGAAATTGTGGGGATGTAATTGATAATAAACAAAATCACATAAATCAAATTGATCATTGAGAAGAAATTCAAGACTAAAATTTTTCTCCTTTTTTTTCCATGAAGTTAGTACCTCTCAAAATCGTATACATATTTTTTTGACCATGTATTGTGTATATAAATAAAGGGCGTATTCATATTTTATAGTTTGTGAATTATATGTTAATAAGCATTCATTATTGGCCTATGCTTGAGAATCATGTAAAAAGTAAATAAAATACAAAATAATATTTACCTATTCAAGAAAAAAATAATTATAAACTATTGTTTTGGTTTGAAATAAATGGATGTGAGGAGAGATTTTATGCTAGTCTCCTTATTAATTTATAAATTTTGGAGGGGAGTGGAATTTTTTATTTCAATATCTTAAAAGTAAAAAACGCACCACGCCATCTAAAGTGCTGTGCATGAAGAATGTTAGATTTAAGGTTTTGATGATAATAATTTAAGTAAGTTCTGGTTTAGCATGTTGATCGATCACTTGTTCGATCAAAAATTAATCGATCTTGTGTCAGATAAATTGTCATTGTTTGCTAGTAAGTTGGCAGTAGGTTTGATTGATAAACTAATAGATAATTCAAATTTTATGAGTTGATCGATCACTTGATCGATCATCATTAACACTGAGTTATATAAAAGCTTGCAGAAAATTATCGATCAATTAATTGATAATCAAATTTTCTATCAGCAGTCAGAAAAATCTGTACAATTCTGGTAAGCTTTTATTAATCATATGATCGATCAACGTGTTATCGATGAAAGCACAGAGAAATGGTAAAGTCTTCTTACTCACTTAGTATTCTAGTTAATTCATCATTTATCGATCACTTTATCGATCAATAATTAATCAATAACCTGTTCTGATATTGCTTAAATAAATTACTGGTTTATCGATATTTTTACTCTATCTAGGTATGTTGTCAGGATCCTTAATCAATCAATTGATCGATCAGTGCTTTGTCAATCAAATGATCGATCATCCAAACTTCTGAAACTTCTTCTTTTTCACATAACGTGATCGATCAAGCCTTTTCTGACCTATTTAAACTATGTTCTTCTATGATATTTTATCGATCACTTAATCGATTAAGTTTTAATTGATCATTTACTCGATAAAGTATTCGATCAACATCCTTGAAAATCCATTTCCCTCTTACTTAGTTTTATCGATAATATGATCAATCAAACAATTCTCATCACTTGTTCAGTCATTGTATCAGTTCATTTCATAACAAGCTTTTCACGATGATTTCAAAATCTTTTATCCTTTTATCTTTAAGCTTTTCTTAGCCTTCCTTTTACACATAATCCTCTATTAAAAGGATTTAAAGGCATAGATGAATCTAAAAGTTTTATTTTTGCAAAAATTTCTTCTGAAGTCACTGTATTAATTTCTCATCGTTTATCAATCACTTACTCGATCATCTGTTGATCCATAAGCTTATCGATAAATGTACATATATACATATATGTGACTAAGGTTTTCTCTGTATTAATCGAAAACTTGATTGATCAACTACTTATCGATCAAGACATCGATCAAGTATGTTCAGTTCATCTTTAAAGTACCTGATGTTTGATTCATTGCTTTCCTAATTGGTATATGAATATCAATGATCATTATTTGTTCAGTTACTTTTACAAGTTTCCTTTTGAAAGAGAACTCACTTGTTTCGAGTATTGTTACAGATTACAAAGCAAGTTCAACAGTTACTTAGCAGCCTGTAACCTAACATGTCAGAAAATTAATGATGAACTGCCGTTGTAATTGTCGAACACATGCAATTGATTTTTTCAATGGCTAAAGCTCTCTAGCCTAACAGTTAATTAAACGTCTCCAACTATAAAAGGTGCGAAGAGCATTAAATGAAGTATTGAATACACGAGCTACCATCTGCTGAAATACTTACTGTTGTATTCAATACTCTATTTTTCTTTCACCGAGCATTAGTGTTCACTATTCATTTACTCTGTAAGAGAGTTTGCTATATCTCTTTACTCATCTTCTAAGAGTAACTCAAGAGTATGGCCTCTTGAGAGGGATTGTAACCTTACGGGTAGTAAGGGGGAGTGATTGAGAAAATCAATTACTATACTGAGGCGCTAAGAGCCCCTTTAATCTTGGGATCATAGTGGAAATCTCTGAGGTGTTCTGAGGACTGGATGTAGGTCAAGTGGTTAAGACCGAACCAATATAAATATTGTGTCTTCACTCTGCATTGAAATCCTTCTAACTCAACCTTATCTGTTTTATTACATCATTGTTCCATTATGTCAAAATTTTTATAACTCACCTAATTTACCCCCTTCTTGGGTGAAGCTGCCACTAACAAAGAACTATTCTAGCTCACTTGCCTCTATTCCAATTAAATTAGATGTTACATAAATTCTAGGGAAAATTAGTCTCCCAATGCTTATAGTTTTCTTTCAATTTTGAATCAGGTCCTTGAATTATTTTTTCTTTTTATTATATCCTTTAAGTTTTCTTGTTAGATTTATTGGTCCTTCTGTTAAGAAGTATTAAAAAGACATTATAATGTCATCTTCAGAGCACATTTAATCCCAAAGTCGATCCCTATACCCACCTTTTACTTCCTCGCTTCCCCTGTTTCATACCTTGATGGCAACACCAGTATTTTCTTCTTTTGGGGAGTCTAGGTGCATCAAGAATCCCAAGTTTCTTCAACACGTATGTGTGAATTTTTTTTTTTGTTATGATAGAGAGAAGTCCAGTGATATCATCCTTATACTCACTGTAAACCATTGAAGTACACACCACTTTAAGGCGAGTAGTTTTCTTGTATTATAAGTCAACTTGTAGTAGAAATCTAACAACCAATATACAAATTCTTTTTAAGGCGAGTAGTTTTTCTTGTATTATAAGTCAACTTGTAGTAGAAATCTAACAACCAATATACTAATTCTTTTTTATAATACATGTTTGATAACAGTAATCAGAAGCTTATGTAATCTATGAGTAATCGTGGGACGGCTAAATCAATGGCTGGAGTTTTGTTATATGACTTGTCAGGAGCATATGTATAATTCTGTTGTATCACCAACACATGGGTTCCCTTCCTCTCCAGAAATTTATACTTGCGCTACACTCAAATTTTTTATGATGGGGTCCATTCTATTAGCCTGGGTAAAAAAAAGAACACACATTGCTCACAATACTAAAGGGCATTCACATTTTATTTCAATTGCCTTTTTTTTTGTTTTGGGTTTGTGAGACCTCTCAAAGCACCATTTGTTTTCAAGGTTCGTTGGAAGGAGCGTCTATGGTGTTAGGTTTCTGCTTTTTGGTGAGAGAGTCTAGAAAGAGGATGGATGAAGAGATACGCTAGGTTTTTGGTTTTCAATAAGAGAGTCTGAAAAGGAAGATGGATGAAGAGGCTAGGGGTCGGTAGGGTCTAGATTGTGGGGAGGAGAATGACTAAAGACGTTTTGGGAAAGAGAATGAGGAAGTGAGGGGCTATTGGAGGTTGATGTTAAGATCAAATAGTGCTACAAAGATGGTGTTGTGATGGTCTCTTTAATGGACTTCTTAATGGAAGGACCAGTAAATCTAACAACAAAAAACTTGAAGGATCTAATAAAAAGAAAAAATAATTTAGAGACTTGCTTCAAAATTGGAGAAAACTATAAGGATTGAAAGATTAATTTTCCCTAAATTCTATTGCCTTTATTCCAATTGAATTAGATATCACGCAAACTCTATTGATATTACTGATGAATGAAATTGACTCCCCTTTCCTTTCTTACATTGTTAAGATTATTAATTTAAATAAGATTTGTTTCAAGCTCCTTTTTACAACCCACAAGGTTCATACGTGAAGAATCCTATGGCCTCGGACCGTTAAGTAAATATTCTTCAAAATACAGTAATTCAAAAGTATGAAGGAGACAGTTAGTTATGTAGGTACAAAACATAAGTCCTAGCATGGCAAATTATACAGTCATTACAGACCCAAGCCATAAGAGGCCTACTAGGCTGTGCCCTCTTATGTCTTTGGCTGCTTCCTTTCACAATGGACAATATTGAAAAGCTTTGCTGAAACAGTGAGACTAACAGGGTGAGACATAAAGTCCTAGTAACTATGGCCCACTTTACAACATATACAAACAGGATAGTAAGTAGGTGAACTAATGCCATACATAAAATACCTTAAGTTAAAAATATATAAATGCATATGCAACAACCAATACATTAGTTTGTGCCCTTCCATCTGCCGTACTCCTCTTTATGACTCCTTGACATGGATCCGAACCATTCGTACAAAGTAACCTAGCCAAAAGTCACTCTACTCACATTGGTTTAATAGGTCCCCCTTGCCTGTGGTTCGACCAAGCCAAAAAGGTATCTACTCAAGAGTTCTATCCTGATTCTAGGACAAGAAAAAGGTAGAACTACAAGGGTTTAACAAGAAGCCAAACGCCTAATCATAGTGTTGGCACAACCTACAGGCTTCAAGAACA